TCTCCCTGGCTCTGGGTAGAGCAGAAGGATCACCACCCATGATGTGCTGGTAGCGTTCGGCACAGTGCAGCCCAGGAGATGCTGTCGGCCTTTGCAGCAAGGGCCCATTGCTGGCTTGCCTTCGAGTGGTGGTCCACAAGGACCCCCAGGTCTTTTTTTTGGGAAAACCATTTCAGAAGGTTGCAGACCACACGGCAGCTGAGCTTGCTGTGTGCTTTGAATACTGAAAGCACTTGCCAGTGCTAGGTGTTTTTCTACCATTTAGACTTTTGGTCTTTGGCATACACATTTTAGACAATGAAATAATCTTAAAGGTAAGCTAAATAAGCATTATGTTATTTGGCTTTAAATTGTAATACTAATTTTCAAAGTCAGGGCTGTGAAAGAGGTCATTTAGTTTTGCTTTCAGCTTACGTGGCTGCAGGATTAACAAATTAAAGTTCCAAGCCTGCAGCAGAAATCAAGCTTATGCTTTTAGAAATGCATTGGGTTAGTTCTTGTCAACTTTTTTTTTAGTTCCTCGGGATTTAGAATTTACACTTTCGATTCCTAACTATTATTGTCACTTTGCAGATGGGATAGCTGAGCAGGAAGGATTTCAGCAATGTGCTCAAGGCCATGCATGGCGCTGGATGAAGCAATAAAAGGCTAGAATTTATCTGCCTGCCTGCAAGATCCTCTTTGCTCTCTCACCTTGTTGATCAAAGCTCTTGGAGTTCTGCTTCAATGTGCAGCATGCTACCTTCTAACAGGATTGTCATTTGCTGATGATGCAGGCCTTTTACTAGCTGTCAAATGCTGCTGTTGGGTGGGATTACTGAGGGGACAAATCTTGTCTCTAAATATGAAAAACTTGAGTTTTATAGGTCTTGTTTTTTATCTAAATATGCAAAACTTGAGTTTTATACATCTTGTTTTATGGTGCTATGTCATGGCTTGCCATCATGTGTTATAGCTTCTCATCTGCACAAGCAAGAAGTTTGGAGCTCTTGAGTTTCCTTTAGACCTTAATGGTGTCGAGAAGGGTTCTGCTTTATCAATTTTAAACCTGCAAGAAGAGATGTAACAGGAAGCATGGAGAGAGAGAAAGCAAAGTCATTTTAAATGGAAAATGAAGTTAAAATGAAGTTATGATGTGGGACATTACCATTTCAATAGTAGAAGATAGTGCACCGTTAGAAGGAGTATTGATATCTTTTGTGCTTGGTTGGGACAAAGTCACTTGGTCAACAAAGGAAAGGGTTTTGAAAAATGGAGTCAGTCAAATACCAGTTGTCTTTTATTTTGTGTATCTTCTAGGTGATGGAATAAATAATCATGTAACTCATTACTGAATTTAGTAATTACTTGTTTGTGTTTTTGTTTCAAGTTTTGGTTTCAGGTGTATGGCATGTAGGTACGTAGGTCAGTTGAACTTGCTCCAAGCGACAATCAAATCTGTCTGCTTTCAGGTTCATGTCAGGGGCAAATAATCTAAAGACCTTGGGGGGGGGGTAACTTTCCATGCTTTTCATGTTAGAAGAACCTAGAGCAAATGTTTGCAGAATGCATGTGTCAGACTTGTTGTAAAATTGCAAAGCTTTTCTTAAAGCTAAGCTCATTATGAAATACATATCAAAGAAAAATTAGCATAAAAATGATAACTTACAGGAAAAGGTTGTTTTTTTTGTTTTTTTTTTTTTCAAAGAAGCAATTCTATATAATGGTCATTGTTTCAGCTTTGGTTATTGTACATATATTAAAAAAATAGAAGTGAAAAAGGGGATAGTAGACCTGTTTCTCCAATGTATGCTTCAGCTGAATGGTCTCTTCTACTCTCTCCTTCATACCCCTTTATTGGTCATTTGTAGCTATGCCAGTGTAAATTGATGTCATCTTAGAATCCAGATGTGCAGGTTCAAAAAGCTGCAAACATGCTAAGATGATTAAAACTGGGATTGAGAAAAAGCATCGCATCTTGAAAAATGCCTCAAATAGAAGCAGTTGGCTGCAATTTATTAGGACTTGTTTAACAGTGTCGTGTTTGTGATAAATAACCCCCAAAGTGAAAGTCTGATGGGTTCCTCTCCTACTCTTCTCCTCCTCTTCTTCCTTCCACAATGTGATAGGAAAGAGGTGACAAAACAGGAATCTTGTCTTAAGCTTTCAAGAGTTCGTATAAATGGCTTTATATGACTGAGTAAGACAAAAAGGGGGAGAATTTGACAAGTTCATAAGAACATCATTAAGAAGCAGGTGTTTCTTTTATTAAAACCAGAGAAAACACAATTGTATATTCTACAATGATCAAGGATTTTTTCACAATTGTTGGATTTTAATTGCAATACTAAATTGAGAACTCTGTTCCAAACTCATAGAGCTTTTCATTAGCCATTGCAGGAACTTAAATTTTATTTCCAGACCAACCTGAAGCAACATGGGTGATAATTAAAAACTGAATTTTGGAAACAACTGGTGGTGTTTCTTTGATGTTAGAGGAGTTTTGTCATTGTATGAAGTTGTCAAGCAGACTGTAAGGGTTTCCAAGCTTCAGCTGAGGAAGAAAGAACATATCCAGAACAACAGCCAGCACAACTGTATTGGATAGGGATGAAGGATACAGCTGACTCGGACTGTGTAATGGGGTGGTGGTATTCCATGCAGTGTCAGACTCCACTTCTGATCAGTTCCATGAGATGGGCAGGATTGTGATGACTCCTTGGATTGAGCTTTTGGCTCTGAGCTGTTCCTTTCTCAGCTTTTCAGTGCTGACAGTTCTTGTATTTATCAGTCTTTGGCTTAACACTTGTTAACTGCTTTTGAAACTTGCCTTTATTCAAACAAAAGATGTTAGAAGGACAACTTCACTATTTTCTAGCTGTCCAAGTCTGGATCTACTACATATAGATGTTTTTTTCCCGTTCAGCATAAGGACTTTGAGAACATACCAGAGGACCTTGCAGTTGCCTTGATGTCAGCTCATTTTCCATTTCCACTGTGTTGAGGCTGTGGGTCCAGCTTTCTTGGTTCCTCAGTCACTTCTGAGTGAAAGAGCTCACCTCTTCTCCTTGGGGCTTTTTATACCCTTAATTCCATGCTTTCTTTTAGGCCAGGATTGTACTTTTTAAGTTATAGCTGAGCAAGTACACTTTCTCTCATGTGTTGAAAGCACTTCTAGTTACTGCCTGAGCATGTAAAGCACAACAGCTGTTGAGGGTGATAACTAAGTTGAAAAGGAAAACTTAACAACAAAAACAACAACAAAAAAAAACCCTCCACATAGCAGCTGTCCAGAACACATTATATGCCTGTGTAAAATATTGCACCGGAAATGCATGTGAATTTTGTTGAACTCCTTTGGGAGATTGATTTGAATGCCTAATACCCTGTTAGAATTGTAGACAAACTGAAGATACAAGACAGATAGATAGAAGAAGATCCTCTGAAGTCCAGTTAACACATGCAAGAGTATGTGTATGAGCGCATGTGTGTGAACACTAAAAACATATTTAGTCTGCTTTAAATAAAGGGAAGGTATTACTAAAATGGACTGACTTTTCCAGTCAAAAATGCATATAAATAATGGAGTACCTGATGTGCTGTCACAGTGATGAGATACTTTAAGTAAGCTGTAATGTAAAACTGTTTATACCATGTAGTAGTAAGTATTGGCAGAAGTAGTTGTAGGCATCTGTGAGTCAAATTGGAACTGTAACAACCAGAGGCAAAAAAAAAGTCTGTTCACATTGTACACTTAAGTTTTTGGTAAATAAAAACTGATGTGTATATATAGTAGGATGGAAAATAATACTTTACATGTTGTACTGTTTTGCTTACACTGGTGCAGTTTTATTTAGATATTGTTTGGTGCTAGTTACGTTACCTCTTTCTGGCTTGATTTTCCTGCTCTGTCTTGTGCAAAACTGCTAGAGCACAGAAAGGACTGCCTGGTGAGAAGAAATTAAGGACTTAAATAATAGAGATTTAAAATATACAGCATTTGATTATTTTTTTTTTAAAGGCAGCCAAGATAAATTCTTGGTAATTACCATTATTCAACTGTACTGCACCATGTAACTGTTCATATTACCACAAGATCTGTAAAAGGAGGGGGGGGGGAGGAAACAAATTATTTTAGTTTCTCCAGAACTTGCATTTTCTGGAAAAAGAGGATAGCAGCTGTATGTTGTATTTTAAGATTAGCACACCTGTCAACTCCTTGATTAGTCTTCCAGGTAGAGATTTTACCGGTGGGTCTAGAGGTAGCATGGATGCAGTCTATTTTATTGTTTAAACTTAAAACTTTGGTTTCATTAAATTAAAATATTTACTGTTGCAGCTAGACACTTCTCCAGCTTCTGACTTAGCTTCTCTGAAATGCAGTCACATAAAACTGTGAACCTGCTAGTGTGATTGGATAGGTGTAGTTCCATTAAGGGAGATATTATCAGGAGCACTACTTTTCACCAGTTTTGTTGTTGTGCCTAAATGAAAGCTTGCACATTTTTGGTGCAGGTCTTTAGTCTTCATTCAAAACCTTAAAAATGGATTGTTTCTCATGAAACAAACTTTTTTTCTTTCAAGTTTAGTCTATTGTGTGAGTAGAAAATAGATTCCTTAAATTTTTATTACCCCATGCTTTATGGTTGCTTATGCTTGTATATTTTTCTTGTTTATTTAAACTTTCTCAGAGTTCTGTTTGTATTTTTATATTAGCTACAGTAAATAAGCGCGCGGTAATACAATACTTTGTGTAATCAAAAAGAAAACAAAAATAGATTAAAAAAAAAAAAAAACACGTAAAGTTGCCTAAGCAAAATTGTAAAAGCTGAATGCAAGAATATCATTAAGGTGTCCTGGGGACATTTATTCAAAATTTCAGGTGGTCTAATAGTGATGACAATTCAAAGTTGAATTCAAAATTTTTGTTTATAGTGTTTTATTCAATGTATGGCTATTTGGAAATTGCAGCTAATGCTTTTTTCTCTTTTTTTTTTTTTTTTTTTTTTTTTTTTTTACAGACTGAGCTTTGACGTTTGTTTCATGAAAGAGGTTTACAAGTAGTTGTCTTATAATAACTTTGAGAAGAAGTTCTATGTAGCTCTTACTTTCAAGAGTGCTGCAAAAATGATTACTTCAGATTTGCCAGTACTACAGTGAGTATTCTTTTTCTTTATGTATTTTAATTTTTCAGCTTTCAAAAGATAGAAGTGAGTAGTAAGCTGAGTATGAGGATAAAGTGTCAGCTTGAGAAGAGTAGATTAATGTGACTGTTCCAGGTCTTGTGTGTTGTATGCTGAAAAACTGTAAAAAATAAATAAACGCTTTCTTTAAAAGATGTTTCTTTACATGGAGATTTTATTTTGTGAAAAGCAAAAGCAAGTATTTGCTACTTTTATGCTTCTGAATGTTGTAAAATTTTGAAAATAGGATTTTTTTTTTTGGTTATAATTGATCATATTTGTGTATTCCTGTTGTGTACTTTCTTACAATAAGCTGTATTTATTGTGGAATAAGTCTGTGGCTTCTGCAATTGGAGAGAGCAAGCGGTGTTAGCATGTGTTAGTCATGTTGGGAAATGAAAAGCTTATACACATGGGAATGTCACTGTACCTGAACTGCTGGGGAGCATGGAGTGGCAGTCGATCATGAGAGCTGCATAGCTGAGAAAGGAATTTTAGAAGGGAGCAAAATGGAGCTTTATGTGATGTGGTGGGTTGGCCTTTGCCAGCTGTGCTTTCATACTCCTCCTCAGCATTCCCTCAGGACACAGAAGATGTCTAAGCCTAGAGATTGAGAGGGAGGTCACTTAGCAGGTAATGACATGGGCAAAACAGACTCAACTTGGGGAAAAATAAGTTGCTAGTTAAAACAGCTTTGGATGGTGAGTATTGGCTGCCACTCGTGCCTTGCCCACGGCCTGGTGCCACTGCACTTTCTCCCTTCTGTTTGCACTTTGCTGCCCTTTTTGAACCCCGCTCCCACAGCGGTGCCACTGGCCTTGCTGGATGGCAGAGCTGCGGGGCGGCCATTACAGAACTGGCCTCTCTTCACAGCGCTGCTGCCCTGTGGCTGTTAACTCTGTAATGTTAACCGTATGTTGTTGGGAATCAACTATGCAAATGGCAATTGCAGAGTGTAAAAGAGCTGAGGTTTTGTTGAGTGATGTGCCAGACCTTCAAGTCCCTTTCTGTAATTTCTGTAAGAATTTGAACGTTTGGACAATTGTAAAGTTATTTCACTGCCCTTAATAATAGCATGCACAATATTGCCTTAATTTCCAGTGTCTTTAAAACCTTTTTCTGAGTAAGTTAATTCCTGTGGATGAACAGGTGGCTGAAAATGGGGATGACTGGCATGGATACCTCTGTTGGGGGTGGCGGAGCTGCTGGTGAGCTTGTAGGATAGTCTGAGAAAACATTTTAACATATAATATTTTTTAGATGTTCTGCATTACAAGAGTAAAAGTGTGCTTGTGAAATGTGCCAAGGACGAAAAGCTGTTAGTTTCTGTCATTGTAATAGTGGGAAAGGGATATTCCCATTCCCACTTCAAGAATCCAGATGGCTTTAAGAAGTGAATGAAATTTTGTGGAATTTTAAGTTATAAAATGCATATTAATGGATCCCATAACTCAGCATAACAGCTGAAAAACATGAGGCAGTTTGGCATTTTCTTCAATCAGAAGATTGTAAGCCCACCAATATTACGCAACTTAAAAACAAAAAAAAACCTTTAAGGCTATCCCGTTTAAGCAGAGTCTTAATGTCAATTTGTTATTGATACACTTTACTTAGAGCTGTATCACTTATTCCTTCCCATATTCTTCCCTTTGAGGGAACACCAAAGTAGAAATCCTCCCTTTTTCTGGATTTGTAGAAGTGGCTTCAGAATGCCATGAGGACAGAATTACACGTAACAGAATTATTGGTGTTTCAGATACAGGAGAAGAAAACCCACAACTGTCTGGTTTATTTGACCTGGGTGACAGACTGTTACGAGTCTTGTCTCAGTGGGATGACTCATTTGCTGTGAGGCATGTTCTTCTTTAGATTTTGAAGATCAACCATGAGAGCTGATTCATCCATGATTCATGAGCCCGTGCATTTAGCCATTTTTCTTCATGAATGCTTTTCTTCTCAGGGCTGAGTCTGGTGGTAGCAATTTATAATTTTATCTCTGCCAGAACCTTGAGAAACCTCAACAACATATAAAAAGCTTATAAAACTGTTTTTATTTCCTAAAACTAGTGCAAGTTTTTGGTGTGATTTTTTTTTAAGGTCATGGTATGAGTTCTGTAGCAAAGACTTTATGTAATAGTAGAAGGTAAATTTAATTCAATTGATTTATTTTGTAGAGACATGACATTTACTAAGTCAATGGAAATACGTTCTTCAGAAGCATGACAGCAAGGGCCTGCCCAGTAACCTGTTAATTCTTCATTATCATATAGTTTCAATGACTTGCTATTATAACTTCAGAATAATACCTGGAGGATTTAGGGGGAATCCTGGAGTTACAGCCAGCTGTTCTAGGATCCCTGAGCCACTGCAGAAACCAGAAAGAAAAGCAGAGTATACCTGAGTTCCTAAAAGGACTTATGATGTATCTGCTTTCTCTGCTCACCTTATTCTTGTACGTCTTCTCACACTCTTGAAAGTTCTCTTACATCTCTACCATGTTCAAAGGTGTTTTGCAGAGGAAGGGCTTAGCCTTTGGCACTACCACCTCTCCTCCTCTTTCATGGTGCAGGTCTCCTTAGGCCAAGTTAACTTTCATAGAATCATAGAGGATGGAAAAAACCTCCAAGATCATCTGGTCCAACCATCCCCCTACCATCACTATCACCCACTAAATAATGTCCCTAAGTGCCAAGTCCAACCTTTCCTTGAACACCCCCAGGGATGGTGACTCAATCACCTCTCTGAGCACCCCGTTCCAATGCCTGACTACTCTTTCTGAGAAGAAATGTCTACTAATTTCCAATGTAAACCTCCCCTGGCACAGCTTGAGGCCATCCCCTGGTCCTATCACTGGTTACCTGTGAGAAGAGGCTGACCCCCAGCTCCCCACAGCTTCCTTTCAGGCAGTTGCAGAGAGCAATGAGGTTTCCCCTGAGCCGCCTGTTCTCCAGACTAAACAACCCCAGCTCCCTCAGCTGCTCCCCACAGGTTTTGTGTCCCAGGCTCTTCAATTCCCTCCTCCAAGTCATCAATAAAGATATTAAAGAGGATGGGCCCCAACACTGACCCCTGGGGAATACCACTGGTGACCAGTCAACAGCGGGGTTTCACTCTGCTCAGCACCACTCTCTTGGGGCCTGGCCATCCAACCAGTTTTTAACCCAGCAAAGAGTGTAAATTTTCATCCCAACAGCTTCAGAAAAGAAGTTTTCCTCTCAGGTTACTAGTCACACATATGAAATAAGGATAGGATAATTCTGGTCTATTAAGATGTGGATGACTGCCATCAGAAAAATTGCTTCCTAGCAGCCTTATAATCTGTGTAGGGAATGAGGGAGATGGATGCTGGCCAGATGCTCTTCTCAGTAAGTGTTAAAAACCTGACAGAACTGCAAGCAGTTAAGAGATGCTTCGCTCCTCCCCTGAATTCAGAAATAAGAAGGAAGGGGGCTGCCTGTGTGTATCCAGTGCTGTCTTTGACAGGAGTGAGAAGCAGTTCTCCCCACACCAATGGAACTCAGCCTCAGTGCGAGGGCCTTTTTGCCCAGGAGCTGCATGGTTCAAGCAGAACTCCCTGCTTCTTGAAATGCTGCAGGTGTTTTAGTGTCAAGTCAGCCAAGGACTGTAGATTGTCCTTATCCTCTCTCCTCTCCCCAAATAACATGATTTGCTTATTACTTTGTAAGGAGTAAAGGGAGAACAAACTTATGCTCTGCAGGAGATGACCTCTTTGCCTCAGGTATTATTAGGGTGAGATTAAGCTTGATTAATTTTGGACATTTGTATTTGAGATGTTTGTCTAGATCATCTTACCATCAGTGGAGAGGAAAGAAAATTTTAAAAGCATAAACTGTCTGAACTATTTTGGACACTGACCTTAGCATGAGGTATATTGCACCTTAAAATTTTCTGTTATGTGCATTGTATACATGTAAAAGTTAGATGACATGAAACTTCCCCTTAGTGATTTACTGAGCCTTTCCAAAAGGGCTTCCAGCGAACCAGAGGTATTTTGACAGGAAAATTAGAGAAGTCTGCCTATGGGGTTTAAGACAACACTCTGCTTAAGAAAAAGAAGAGAAGGTTGTTAATTATTCAAATGTTCCTTCTGTATGCAGAGTCCTGAAGTGATTGAAATTTCAACTGCTAAGTATACAAATCTCAGTAGATTGTGCAAGACCTACCCACGGGGTGTAGCAAAATCAAGCTGTCCATGGACTAGATGCAGGCAAAGTAGTATGGTTTGATTAATTTGTTTATATAGCTCAGAGCTGCAGGGGAAGTGTTACAGCCATTTGTTGAGGTACTCTGCCGAATCTGGTTTTAATAGAGAAAAATATTTGTCTTGATGATATTAGGGGTGTGATTTTTACAAGCTAGCGAATCTATGACATTTCCACAGAAATGTGAACATTGCTGGGACTGGCCACGCCTGAAACTTTTGCAGTAGGGCTCTCTGTAGATAGGAGAGCAGTTTGTTTTTTCTGTAGAGAGCAAGAGTGAATGTTTTAATTTATCTGCAGCAGTAGAAAGCAGCAGATATTTTTATAGGGGTTCCTCACGGCTGTATTGAGAAGTGTTCTTGTTTGTTTGTCTGTTTTTTAGAAAAAGCTGTCATTGTGAGCCATATGTGTTTTTGGCAAATTAAGTTGCGGTGTGATGGCTGGTCTTTGAGCAAAGGCTGGATACATCCATCCACATAGACATCTTTGCTGCATTGCTCTTCATCAATGACACTATTTAACCAAGTCATTTTGAACTGTTTTTTTTGTTTGTTTGTTTGTTTAAATTTGGTTTAATTTATTTTTTAAATTCATAGTTCAGTATTGAGTTTTCCAGATTTCATATATTATGATGCAGTGAAGTTACTTCTCTAAAAATCATCACAACCAAGCTACATCTTAAGTATTTTGTAGAAATACTGTTGTAAAAACACATAGCTTGGAAACTCCAATGTGCTTGAATATTGCTTGTTTTTAATCTAGGGTGCATGGACTTCTGGGATATGTAGAGCATTCTGTGGATGTTACTTTCAGAAAAGCAGATAATTGCATTCTAGCTTTTATGAAGGATTATGTACACACCTAGGTCTTTTTGTGCTTGCAAATTGGAAAAGGTTGGAAAATAATGCCTTAAAATGCTAGAAGGACACCTAGAAGAATACAGTAATTTCACTAAAGAGAAGTTTCAGAAGATTCTTGATTCTAATATAATGATGTTCACATCTTTCTGCATTACTAAATAGCTTTCTTGGTGATGCAGTGAATTTGTGAAGTATTCCTCCTTTGTGTATTTTTAAAAAAAGTGGAAGATGTGTGTAGATCATGGCTTGCTGAAGCTTCTCAGTTTCTGTAAACCAGATTACCCAATGCCCTCTGTTGTATGTGAGGCTACACAATATAATGGAATAGGCATGATTTTTTTTCCCCCTTTCCCTTACACAAGTTTTAAAGCAATTAAACTCCTTTTAGTTCAAGGAAATTATATTGGCTTTAAGGAATTCTATGATTAGAACTAGACTTCACCAGTCGTTGAGTAAGCTAGCACATTATTACAGTTATTCCGTTTATGGAGATCTCGCAGATCTAGCAATGGTCTCTCATGGTCTGGCATAGTAGAAATTAGGCACATCAGTAACGAATGGTTTTGCTTGTGGGCTCGTCTTGGGCAAACTTTAGAGCCTCAGAAGATCACTCAAAAGCTGGGATTCTTCAAGCAGCCAAGCCTGTTCTGAAGGCAGTACCTTTGGACCTGGCTTACAAGGAGAAAATTGAAGAATTTTGAGATAATGTTTCTCCCCTACTTAGTACGGCCTTAGTCTAAAATGGGAATGATTAAAAAATTATATGGGTTTCTCTGCTAATAGCCTGAATATTTATTTATTTTTATCGCTGTACAAGTGAAAATGTTTTTCTAACCACAAGAATCTTAAATGTCTTAGGACTGAAGTGAGTTTTCTGGTTTAAGCCTCCTGGTCAGTGTTAATCCTTTCTTTATTAACAGCTGCACAATGGCATTGTCTTGAAGTGTGACTAAAACCACGATTTAACCCTAGTGGGAACCTGTGTAACTGTTCTAATGGTGTGGTGGCTGGATCAGACACCCGATTGCTTTCTCATGACCTTAAAGCAGCTCAAAAGTAGTTAACAAGAGTAAAAGAAAGTTGATACTAGTGAATACATTATGTGGGATGGGTATGTTGAGCTTGCTGTTTAATATAGCCAGTTTTTGAAGTGCAACTTGGTTTCAAAAGAAGCTGTTAATTTAAATAACTTTCAGTCCGTAAGATGACATTCCAGCCTATAAAAAAAGGTAAGGCTTTTTGCCAGGGCTAGCATCGCTTAGTTCCTTAGCTTGAAGAATAAATGTGGCAAAACTTTTAATGCTGACTTTTTTTTTCTTCTTGGCTTAGGACTAAATATTTAATCAGTCAGTTATAGATTACTTGTTGATTTCAAATCATTTTAATTTATCTAGTATTTTTCCCCCCTAGGGATTCTACAAATGAAACTACTGCACATTCAGATGCTGGCAGTGAGCTTGAAGAAACAGAAGTCAAAGGAAAAAGAAAAAGGGGCCGTCCTGGCAGGCCTCCAGTATGTGTAATTTAGTTTTGTTTTGTTATGCATCTATTTAAAATTGACTGCAAACTGTTCTTCATCTAATCATCTTGTGGTCACATAAATAGGCTTTTAATGAGTCCTATGTCAAACTTTATGAAGACTTCTAGTATGAAATATTTATCAGACTGAAATATAACTGTTTGAAGTGATGAAAAAGGGACATAAAATGAGATCATTGTAGCTTTTTTCTTTTACCAGGTATGTACATGAACACTGCAATTTTGTTGCTGTTGTCATATTACAACATTCTTCCAGACATGGGAAGAATCTCAGTGAACATGACCACTTTGTTTTGGAAGTTGTAATGGCCTTCTTCAAGTGACAATTGACCCTTGAGCTATCCTCTTTGTAATTGATAATCTCTTAATGTGAATGGAAGAGTTTCAGCATAGTACTAATATAATGTCTCAGAAGATCCATTAACACATCTTAATAATTTATGTAATTGACATGCGTGATGTCCTACATAAAGATGGGGAGCTTCAACTTTTTATCTAACATAAAATGGGAATCAGTCCTCAATTCTGCTGTCTAAATTTACTAACAGAATGCTTTTCTTCAGTTGTCTTTGTCTGTTGCTGGCCCATGAATGGGAGCATGCTGAAACAATTCCCTAGTATGCATAGTATTAAGGTGGATTTGTCTTCTATTTGCATTTATTTTATGAAATGTTACATAATTGGAAAATACAGTTTTCCAATTTTTGTTGTGTCTTGTGCTCATTTGTTTCAGTTCAAGGTCATGAGATGCAGTTCTTGTTTGATTGTATCACTTGAAGTACACAATGTGGAATGAGATTTTTGGTGGTAAATCGTGTGTTTGCTGTTAATTGTTTTGATTCTCGTCAGGGTGTTTGTCTACAAGTATACTTCCCAGTATGAATGTCTACACAGCACTTAGAGATTGTTTGTACATGTTTGGTTTTTGTCCTTAAAGCATCCATCTAAATTCCTGGACAGAAGCATGTGTTCTACTCAAGCAAGCTGGCCACGCTGGAGCAAGTTTTGCCATCATATTGGCTTCCAGTTTGGTGCTTCACAGCTTCTGGAATGTGGGAGTGGACATTTAAATGCCAGTCTTTTCCATGCAAGTTTTATTCTTTTCTGGAGGCTTTTGAACAGGGTTTTCCCTGGGGCCCTATCTTCTTCATCAGATGGACATGTAAGCTCACTTTGTCTTAACAAGAAAGATGTAAAGAAAACAGGTTCTGTTTACACACCCTGTAAGCAAAGGGTGAAATCAGAAATTCTTAAGAATATCTCACTGGTAAACTTACCAATTTTTGATGGTCCAATTGAAGGAGGGGAATAAAAGAAAAAGACAGTGGTGTAACCTGATTGCTAACCCAGAAGGTTGTTAGTCTAGGAATTAAAGCAAGGTGGGTAGTATTTTATACTCCTTTCGTATTCACTGGAAATGAAAGATGAATGTTACAAAAGGCATTCCTCATCCTTCTCTTTGAGCTTATTAATTGCTCCTTTGGGAATATTCACTGAAGCACTCTCCTGGTCCAGTTATCAAGTTTCTACAGGAGCCTTTGCTTATTACGTGTAGAACAACTCCAGGCTAATTAAGTGTACATGATTGGTAAGTGTTGAAAATAGAGGGGAAACAGTCATTACTCACCCAGAATGATGGGCTGTGAGCTAACTTTTACTGCCAAGGAGCAAGATGACACAGAAGCATCATATTAATGTTTAATCTGAGTCAAAAAAGCACATCCAATGTTAAAGCCAAGGAAGACAGCAGAAAATAAATAATACTGCATCCTTTTTATAACTCTGGCTTGCCCAACTATTGGAATACTTCCCCTAATTCTTGTTTCTTTATTCCTCCCTTCTACCTCCAACCCACAATCTCAAGAAGTTTATACTGGGACTGGAAGAGGTTCAGAGGAGAGCAACAGTGCTGGTCAATCATGGAATCATTCAGGGTGGGAGGGACATTTCTAACCTGCTCAAAGCAGGATCACAACACCCTGCCTGGACCTCTTCCCGTCTGGTTTTGTAAACCTCCGGGGCTGCATACTGTACCGTGTCTCTGAGCACCCTGTTTCATTTCTTGACTTGCCGTGTGGTGAAAAGCCTCCTTTTAGCTGATCAGAAACTTTCTTGTTTCAGTTCTTGACTGTAGTCACTTGTCCTCCCACGGCATACTGCTGCAATAAAGCCTCATGGGGAAGTGCCCCCTGCCCGTGTTGACAGCCTGCTGCTGAACTTATTCTAGTTTATCAGTGTTTCTCTTGTGTGGGGCTGAAACTTGTCACAGTATTCCAGCTATGGGCTAACAAGTGCAGAGTAGAAAGGGACAATCCCTTTCCTTGGTGTACTGGCTGTGTTCCTGTTTGTGCAGCCCAGGTTATTGATGGCCTTTGCTTGCCAGGGCACGCTGCTATCTCCTGTCTGCCATGAACCCAGTGTCATTTTCCACAGAGCTATTCCCCAACTAGTCAGTCCCCAGCCTGTGTTGGTGCAAAGATTTGTTCTTCTGCCAAGGGCAGGTCTTTGTCCATGTTGAATTTTGGGTGCGCTGTTAGCCTAGCCCTCCAGGCTGGACCTTGCTATCAGTGAGTGGTCTTCTTGCCAGTTCCCTGCCATCTGCACGCTTGACAGGAGTCGATTCTTCATACCGTTTGGCTATCTGATAAAGATGTAAAGTGGGGCACATTCCATCACAGACTTCTGTTGTACTCCCTTATGGCCAGCATCTGGGTGAAGGTTGATCTGTTAACCTCTAAGCCCAGCAGTTAACCAGTTGTCCACCCATCTAGTTGTCATCTGCCCATCTGGATCACAACTTCCCAACTTGAATACAAGAATGTTGTGAGAGACTGTTAACAGCGTTTCTAACATTGAGATAACTGACATCTACTATTCTCCCCTCATCCATAAATTCAGTCTCTTTGTTATTTTTTGAGTGGCTTGACAGTAGATACATGTGTTTGGATCCACAATTGCATCCATAGATGATACTGCAGCAATGGAAAAGAATAAATAAGAACATACTATTAAAAAAAAAAAAAGGACTGAAAAGGAATAAGCCACTCAATCTCTGCTATCCTTGAGGAGAAATGCAGGCACTTTTGAGAGACTAGTTCTATGCATTTACATTTATAACATTATTGAATACTGAAAATCACGGACTTAGATGAAGCATTGGTTTTGCAAACAATGTATTTTCACTTTTCCTCCTCCACATTGTGAGCCCATCCTTGTTGCAATCCTGTCCACATTCCACTGGTGAATTTGTCACAGGAGGTACAGCTCTAACATTTCTCCCCACTCCTCCATCTGCTAACGTGACTTTTATATTCTCTATAGATGTTGCCCACTTTCACTCTTAGGTGTACAACAAATTATTTAGAGCTATTCTTCTCAGCTGATTCTTAGCTTTGTTTTTCATTTTTGTAATGTTAAAGAAGGATTTCTGTGCCTGAAGGCACTAATGGGTTTTGTGTTTTTTTCTTTTTTTTTCCCCTCTAAAATATGGTGGTCAAATAAGATTATTGAATCTCTGCACACAACTGTTGACTTGCTTATGTCCTTAGGCCATTGCAGCTACAGTAACACATCTGCCGTAAATGTATTGACCTTTTTTGGAAAGAGAGTTTACTCTTCTGTGCCATTTTCCCTAGCTGTGTTGTTCTTTTACAGAGCTGCACACAATGCACTCTGTCAATATTTGTATTTATTTTACAAAGATCGAGGAGATAGTGTTGTAGAATGGACTTGTCTTTTATTAGAAAGATGGAGATTTTTAACAGGCTTCCAGAGAAAGAGATTTTCTCATCGCAAATGTGAGACTTCTGTAAGGAGTAGACCTCATTTGAGAATTCACCATTCGTAGTAAAGAACTTTCCAGTTCAGAGAGAACCTGAATGAATTGGGGAACCTTTCCGTCCTGAAAATGCTGCTTTCTGTGTTGCCCCCCTAGTTCTCTAGTTACTGTTCTAATAAGTCTCCTCTGTTTGAATGAGTCTAGTCTACTTCACTGAGTGTACTAGACAACTGGTTTGCGAAGACATTAGCATCTTGGTCCTTCAGAGTAACTCTTGTAATGTAACCTGATTGTCCCAAATTCCCCAAACCATGCAGTGAATGCAGCAGGAGTTGCACCATGTCCTGTTCTAGCACTGACGGTGGCTGGGGCCTGCCTCCCCCTTGCACGTCTACTTCTAAACACCCAAGCGTGTAGAGCAGATGCTTGTGGAGCAATTGGCTGGGAGGTGAACCTGTCCAGTCAGTGGGATGTATTGGTGCATATATTTCCATGAAGCTGTATGTGAGCATACCATCTGGATACATATTTAGCAAATCGTGTGCTGTGTGTTCAGGGAGTGATGTATGGCAGCCCTCTGCTTGGAGTTGCTGAGTAACATCAGCTGTATAATGTCTTTTCTGGCTGCTGCGTTATTGAAATACACAGGCACGGATGCTCTCTTCTCTTCTAGGTAGGGGATTTGAAACCCCAGTGCTTCTTTCACCATAGTGAGCTGAGGCTCAGATCAGTTATTCATTTATCATTTTTTGCCTCCTCTCTTGGATCAGTGCTTTCTTAGAGGGCTGGTCAATTTAATTGTCATGCTTTATATTGTTTTATATTAACCTACCTGGTCTTACCTCCCCAGGACCTTGGAATAGCTCTTGGAGGTTGGAGGAAGTGAGAGAGACCCATGACTATATTTCAGCTATTGTATTTTGCAGAAGGAGTAGCTAGAGGTTAGCCTGTTTGACTTGGAGCATAAGAAACATCAGTCTGTCCCAGAGGGAGCAATTCTGAGATCTCTGCTGGTATGTGGCTCATCTCATAGTCATGGAAGCTGCTGCATGGCTTTCTCCAACTAACTCATCTCCACATGCTCCTTTCTGAGGCAAGGTGGAGCAAGGCACTTTTGATGCTTTTGTCCCCAGCACAGACTGTGCAGTTTTGCTTTTTGCTTTTTTTTTTGTATGGAGGAGAGGGACTACAATACCTCATATTTGTTTTCATATGTAAAATTTTAACTTTGCAGCAGACTCAACGTTATTGAGTCTTGTGTTACGGATGATAAATACCCCAGAGGATTGACTTTCCCTCCTAGTTCCAAATCACACATCCTGATTAATAGTAGGAAGGAATATTCTTAGAAGTAGTTATTTTCACAGTAGTCGAGGTTTGTGGCTTAGTGTGATGTGCATCAGAGATGTCTTGTTTCAGCTTGCTTGCCTGATATTTTAGGTCTGTCCCTTAAAACGAGTTGAAAAGATCTGCCTGCATGGCTGATGCAGGTCTGTGTACACTGGGTGTTAGGGGCCCTGGATCTGTTTTTATTTGCAGGATGAGGTTTTTCACAGAGAAAACCTTGTTTGTTTCTGTGATGAAGATGTTCAAAAGGCGGACTGCTGGAATCCAGTAACTTCTTCCTGGATAACCATGATAATGTTATGAAATGTTCATGAGCTGCCTTTTTTTGATCAGTATTCATTTGGAATGAGCTCAGACATTACCAGAGACTCTTCTGCTTAATACTGTGTTACAATGCAGAGGCCTCTCAAGATGATGGTGCCTTTGAGAGGCAAGTTCTTCAGTCTTACTCAAGTGGAAGGTTAAAAAGTTCCTTCCAGCTATCTTAAGAAATGGGGTGTTGCTTTAAATGACTTATTACATACTATGTAATTACATGAATGCACATATAGGCCATTACTAGAGGGGGAAGACAGGTGAAATTAATGACCTGCAACGCTTTAACTGTCTTTATTTCTTCCTGAAGTACATCAGATCAACTTGGGCCCTGTTAATGGAAAATGTCAAACCGCTGTTTTTTTGGTTTTATTTAGTGTATAAGTTAACGTTCACTCTATTACTTGTTTTTACAAATGTGGGTCACTTTTTTTCCCTTCAGAGTTATTTTAAAGACATTAAATGAAAAGTATTATCTAGCTAATGTATTACACAATTCTGAATTTTCACAATATCAGTTTAATTACAGTCTAGATAAGTATTTTGTTTCTTCTTCATTTAGTTTATACCATAAAACAACAGTTAAACTCTGGTCATCAGTATGGTCATTTTAAAGTTTCTTCTTGCACATTCTGAAACTTCTGAATTTCCTTATGCTTATGTGGATAAATTCTCAGCCTTATTTGCTGTCAGTTGAGTCTAATTTACAAATCTGAAAAATAATAACTTCTGTTTTCATGTGGCTGTAAATTGGAGGCTTTCACCTATTCAAGGCTGATCTCTGACAAGAATTACTTGGAACAATGTCCCGGTTGTGAGCATGAACAAAGTCACTTCAACTGATTCGTATGAAAATGAAGCTAATGTTCATATTCCTGGAAATTGTTTTGGTAGAATAATGGACGTTACAATGTAAAGTACTCTGTGTAGGTTGAGCTGTAGAACTTGGTCTTAGAATAGTTTAAATAAGGTAGAAAAGACAAAGATAGGATTTCTTCTGGTCTTTGTGGGGAGACCCTAGTTCAGATCTCACACACACTTGGACCCCACCACTGGTCTGACTCTGTCCTGGATCTCAAAGTGAAAGCGGGGATTTAATGCCCCCCAGCAGCACCTTTCTCAGTGTGAGATTGAAGCCTCCAGCCTGCTTTCCTTGCATTGCTTCTTTATTCCTCCTCCCTCTGGAAGTCTTAATTCACTTCAGCAGTGTCTGCTCTGCCATTGCAGCAGATGCCTGGAATATGAAAATCATTAGAAGGATTTATTAATGCATCTAGATACAATACAGCAAAACAGCTTGTCTTTTCCATGACTTTTTCAGGGATCCCTGTTATAAACAGATAACAATTTTGAGTCTGGAGAGCAATGAGATCTTACTTATCTTGGGATTCTGATGGATACTTAAAATGAAAAAGCAAACAAACAACAACAAAACATTGTGGGTGACTGTGAGCTTAAGAGGGCTTTAGGTAGAAGCCAGCAATTTCTGGCTTCTCACAGGGCTGAAAGGGTGAGAAGTGGCAAGCAGTAAGCAGCATTGTTGCTCCTATTAGAAAACACAGGGCTCTGTTTTTCCCATATCTTGAGGACCGTTTGGTGGATCCTCAGGAGAGGGGACTTAATGTCACTCTTGTTTGTTTGATCTTATGAAATGCTGTATTTTATACCTGTCAGTGATAGTCTGACAGGTTTACTGGAGCCAGGCTTACCTTTGTGCAGGGCTGTTTCTATGTGGAAGCTCGTTGTGGCATTCGAGGTCTGTCTTTTTTGGGTTGAGCTGAAGGACCACCCTAACCTGTGAATGCAAAGGTCTCTCTCTTTCGAGATGCAGGACTACCTGTGTTTGGCATCCTCAGTGTGTGCACTTCACATATCCTTCGATCTCCTATCTGTTTTCCCTTAATCCTTGAAGTATTTAACATCACCCTTTGAATTTCATTTTGAGGGGAACTGAGTACAGAAGGCACTTCTTCTGGCTTATACTAGCATCTGAAGAGGGCATCAGCTTGCCTTCCTGCTTTCATTTAGCAGTACTTCTAGCTAGTTTAAGCGCTTATAGCTTATTGTCACCCACATTGAGTGAACAGGTGGATTATACATTCCCAAATGGAATCATAGGTTTAGGTTGGAAGGGACCTCAAAGCCCACCTGGCTCCAGCCTCCTGCTCTGGGCAGGGCCCCCTCCCGCCAGCCCAGGCTGCCCCCAGCCTCATCCAGCCTGGCCTTGGGCACTGCCAGGGATGGGGCAGCCACAGCTGCTCTGGGCAGCCTGGGCCAGGGCCTCACCACCCTCTGGGTGAAGAATTTCTTCCTACTATCTAATCAAAATCTAAGTCAAACAACTTTTTTTTTAATTATTATTATTATATTTTTTATTAAATAGTGATTGTGTGTCTCTTCAGAGCTTGGTAGAGATAAAACATTCCATGTATTTATTGATAGCTTTCCTGCTGGTAAAGGCAGCTTTGCAAAACAGTAATTGGCAGAGATCTCATATTCTTCTACTCATAAATATAGATGTTATCCACGAAACTTTTCATAGAGATTCTCCCATTATTTTAAGCCTTCCATCTTGCATTTGTATGCAAATCGTTAACTGAGTATTTGCAAGAAGCAGTTGTGCTCCACCTTGCCCTTTTCTTTATCTCCCTGTCCCCACCGGCAGCGACAGTTTTAGGGCAAGGACAAGGCTAGGGTACCTCTTTGTCTTCTACTGGCTGTCTTCCAGCAAGGAGATTCCTTTCCTCTGCAGGAAAATTTGTAACATGTCTGAAGTTGGAAGATGCAACCAAAAATGCTGACTTTACATTCTTTTCTAAAAGCTTTAATGGAAACTGCGTGATAGTGTGGTCAAGGTAAATGGTATCATGAGGATACTGTACAATTGTAGAGTTGCTTGCATGTTTTCTTTAACATAATTCCTCAAAATAGCTTCATTGTTCTGTGGCACCTTTTGCTTTCGTCTGCCTTGCAGTAGAAGAAAAAAAAGATTTTAGACATAAGATTGTAGCAGGAATCTCACCTTCCCCCTTTCTTCCCCCAAAACTGATTTTTTTTTTGCAAAAAGTGACTTAAATTCAAAACAAAATGTTCACTGTGTGACCTATCACAAGTGGAATCTACATCATCTGATTATGAGCTTGAAGAATCTGGAAAAAGTCTACGTTGAATAATTTAGTTTCCCAAAGAAAATGTTTAACTCCAAATTTTAAAGCAAGAAAGGGGCTATTGTTATGATCTGTTAAATTTGATTATAAGTTTAGTTATTTAATTTTACTGGAACTGAGGAGTTGAATCTTTGTTATAAAATTTCTATGTCTACTTAAATACAGAAATAGGCTGTTAACAGGACAAGTGTATGTTTCATAAATTATTTGTTGTCTTCTGAAGTTAATTATGTATTCTGAAAATTTACTGTTTGCCAACAGAAAACACTTTTTCTGTCCTGTCTGTAATTTGCTGCCATTCATATATGTATATCTAGTCATGCTGTCAACTGTCTGTTTGTGTTGATTAATACTAATATGGATATTGATGTGAACTGGTACTACAACACTGGGAATTCAGCAGTGTTGAATTCCTTGACTGTAGCTTTAAAGTTGTTTCTCAGTGAGTATTGATAATTAAAATTATATGTACCTGCCTGGATTAAGCCGTAAGCAACATGGTTGCATTTCATAGCTGACATTGCTTTGACCTTGCCAGAGGTCAGACTGGAGACCTGAGATCCCTTTCAGACTGACTTATTCTGTGATATGCGCATGTACTTATATGTGTGAGTGTGTAAATATATGTGTAATGTCTGTATATGATTTATAGAGACACTTTTGAGTGATGTCAGATGTCACAGCTATAATAAATTTTTTTTTTCACTCTGCTGGTTTTCTTTGCCCAGTCTGCCGCTAAGAAACCTCGGAAGTCTCCAGGAGACAAAGGTCGTTTGGAGGCTGGAGCCAGAGGAGCAAGTCGTGGAAGAGCTAATGGCCACCCTCAGCAGAATGGAGAAGGGGACCCTGTCACTTTGTTTGAGGTGGTTAAGCTGGGGAAGAGTGCTATGCAGGTAAAATAACTAATTGTGTTACGCTTTCATCATTCAGTGTACCCCAACTGTAGGAGTTCGTTCTGAGCTATGCTTTTGTAAACAGTTGGCTTTTTTTTTTTCTTACAAGCTGTATTGGTCCAGTAGAATTTCATGTTTAACATTATCTTAGTCTGTATATGATAAAGAACAGAATCTGCTGTCATTGAGTTGGGGACTGCCACGTATTTCTGAAAAACAAGACAGATCAGAAAAGTCATGTATTTCAGTTGAATTCTCCATTATTTTGTCTATTGCTTTCAAATTGTAAATACATGTTGGTATTAAGCAGTCCATTAAATGATAGCATGTAGTATGTTTTACAGGAAGAAAAAGTATAAGATGATACTATTGATGGATACAAAGTTTTATTTCTTTTTTTCCCCTTTTTTCTTTTTTTCCCCCAAAATAGCTGCTGGCTGAAGCACTTTTGAGTATTTCACGCTGCAGCTTGCATTCTTGCTGTTCCCCACCAGAGCTACAGATGAAGGCTAAACAAGTTGCCTAGACTTCCTCTGTGGCTGAGGGACAAAGATGGACACACCCTGATGGCGAATTTTTCATTATAAGATAAATATCTAAGATAGTTGTATGGAACCGCCTCTGGAGGTGTTTCTTACTCGTTTTAAGTTTTGATCAGTTACGGAGGTCTTAAAGCATTTATTGGGCCAGATGAGTCCCATCTCAAGAACCTCAAGATGATTGTTTCTGACAGTATTTGTATGCTTTTTGTAAGTTACTGTGCTTCAGCTATTTGGTTTTGGCACTCAAAGGAGAAGCATGGGCCCAGAATACCAATAACCCATTGCAGTTAAAAGCCAACAGTGGTTCCTACTGAAGGGTTGTTTAAGCAAACTTCTTTTACTTTGCATTTCAACAAAAGGGAATCATGCAGTATCAGTTCGTATGTTTTGCTTACGTGGTGCCAACTAACGTGAGCAAAATTATAAATTAGGAAAATTAGGAGCAAAGTACCATTCTTAATGTTTCTTTTGGTGTAGCATAAAACCTAGGACTAATGTAGTTTTCCACATGAGTTTCAGCTATGGAATATTTTCTCTGAGCTTCAAATCTGAGATGTAGTTTTAAAGTACTAATAAATAGGAAGAAAATATCAGTAATTTTGTTCTTCATAGTGGCTGTTTTTACAGTTACAAAGGATTGACCCTTCTTATCTACTAGGTGAAGACAGAACAAATTTACTGCTAACAAAGCTACAGATTCTTTGTGCCTCTTCTTCGTACATGTTTTATATTGGGGTTTCCAACTTTCCTTGGTTTTCGACACATTTTCAAATTTTATTTTTGGCAGGATTTGAGGAAACATCTGGAGTCTATTTTCTGGTTTTACTGCAGTACCGAACATATATTATGCTTTACGTAGTATGTTTGTCTTAGAGTTATTGATATTTGCAGGCGCCAAATGAGAAGGAATGTGTGATTGCTTTGATATTTGATGACTGAGTGCGTGTGTGGAATTGACTTTGATACATTTCATCTATTTCAAAAGAGATGCCAACAGAAGTCTTCCACAAATGAATTTCTTAAAAGAAATAGCCTGCATGTTTGTAGTAAGAAACCTTTGGAATTCAAGTTGAACTGAATTCAAAGGAATTGTTTTGAAAAAAGTACTATTTGTGTACAGATATATACATAAACACATAAACGCACACACCCCTATATATACATGTGCTTACACATGCTTAAAATGCCCTTAGCCTACATCTTGCTCAGATGAGAAAGAAGTAAATAGCTCTTTGGAAGCTGTTCCTAACATGTAAACAAATAGTAAAAGAGTAGGCAAGTCTATTTGAAGGCCTGGGGCATAAGTGCCCCATTTTTAGGGCCATATTTAGCAATCATAATCCTAAGTTCAAGAGTATGTGCCACTTGTGTACCTTCAAAAAATTTACTATTGATAAAAAATAAAGAAATTGACAGACCCGTGTAGTGGGAAGCAAGATGCAATTACCATGTGATTAAATTATTTTTAACTTGAACTTCTGGATGATAATCCCACATTGAAACAAAGGTTCTATAAACCAAGTTTATTAGCATCTTTATATTTTTTGTTTTCCTTATTATCTTAGGGATTTTTATTTAACAATTAGGAATGCTTGGCATTTTTCTTACTCATAGTTTTGATGCAGGTTTTTTTCTGGCCAATTTTAGCAATTTTGTCAGTATTGCCAATTTTCAGATAAATTACTTATATTTGCATTTGTTAGAACCTATTTTTTGTTGATATTCAGTTATTTCCCTGTAACATGAACCTACTTTTTTCTGTAGTGCACTTAAGTTTGCTTCCAGCAATGAAAAACAGAAAAGTTCAGTTAATATATTTAGAGATTATTTGAAAACTTTCCTTAACATGCTTTCATTCCTGGCCTATCTGCTCCAGCTGTGTGCTCTCGTAATATATTTTAGTTGTTAGATTTTTCTATCTTTGTATTGCCAGCTCATGGAAGCCTGTAGCTGAATTCAACTCTCATTTCTTTTAAGTTTGTCCTCTATTCTGGATCTTATCGCAGGGTTCCTTTACCTCTCTTCAGGATTACTGCTGTTTGGTTCTTCCAGGGAAACAAAGTAATGTTAATATTTTGTTTTTCAAGTACACATAACTTCAAAGCTGCTCTTTGCATGTAAATCTTTGCTTCTGTTATGAAGTGTTAGTTGTATCCAAGCTAAGTCTCACTTGAACTCTGTAAATCAGTCTGATACCCACATTAACCTAGTATTGGATTGTTGGCACTTTTAAAAAGTTTGTTCTGTAACCTATTGTGTAGTTGGTTGCTTTGGAAGATTTTCTGTTGGCAGCTCTCTCCGTATGTAGTGCAATATGACCTACCTACCTTCCTGTTTTCTGCTGGTACTGTTCTTTAGTCCATTAAGATTGTTTGCAGAGCTTTTTAGACACACATTTTTCTTTGTTAGGGAATTAATGACACTTTTCTGCTTTTTGTCATTTGTCTCTTTTTTGCACCTTGAATGTTTTTATGGACACAGCTATATCCAGTATATTTCCCCACTCTAAACTTCTGCAGGCAGAGCAGACTGTATCATCATTTCTCATGTGCTGAACTGCCTGAGCTTACCCTGGTGGGAATGAAGGGCATGGATGAATCTCCACTCCTGCAGCTGAGCCCCAGTGCAGAGGCTGACTCGTAGCTTAACCTTTTGTAGGCACTTATGTACTGGTCTCTGACCCTGGTGTTAAGGCAGCAGTGAAGTAAAGAACATGTGATGGTTGCAGATTTTGTTTAGGCTTCAATCTGAAAATTTCTTGAGAGTTAATTATGTCCAATTAGCTGTAAGAAAGTTTGTACTTTGGTGTTGGTCAAAACAAGCGTAATAGCATTTTGCTTTCTTGTGTGCAAAGGAGATTTGTGCCTCCCCCAGAAAATCGAAGATAATCATCAGTAATCATACAACGCATTTGATACCCAAACCTGAACAGATCTATGCCGAGATTACTCTGTATCATGTGCATAGCCAGTCGTCCTTATCTGCAGTAAACTGCAAACGTCAATTTAGATGTTGATTTTTGAAATATTTGAACCCTCTGCCTATGCTCGGCTAATAAAAGATACTGTGGTTAGAGTTAGACATGGTTCAGAGTAAATATGGTTCCACTATATGGCAACGTGCATTTAGGATCTGTATCCAAAGAGAGCTTTCTGGCACACTGAAGGGGAATTTTTCATTGTGCTACTGGTTCTTTGTCTCACCAGAAGTCAAGAATATACCTCAGTCCTCGCTCTTCTTGTCTGCCCATCTGGGCACACTTGAATACTTTGAGATGCTTTCCCTGTTCAAGTTTAGTTGCACTTGTAGCAGTGTAAGCTTACCCTGTCCCATGAGGAAGTTCTCTTGGTTTCCTAGTTTCAGTTCTTCACACATTATTTCTTCCTCGCACCTGCTGGGCCCAAGCTGGCTAACTGTGACGCTCATTTACTGGCTACAAAGTTCATGAGCATGAACTTTCATGAGCAGGAGGAACATCATGAGACCTCATCTTTCCACTCAGTTGCTTATCTGAAAGGATTAAAACATGTCATTAATACTAATTTAAAATATTTCCGAAACGTTAACAGTACTTTCAATACAATACTGATTTTCAGCGTTTACCCACCTGCCTTTGTTGCAGACTGTGGACTTCAAAATCAATACCTGCAAAAATAAAGGGTATGCATCCCTTACAATTACGTGTTTGATCTGTTGGAAGTAGGAACAGAGAGGGAAAGCAGACAAAGCTTTCAGCAGCGCTTTTTTTGTTGTTGTTCTGTATGCACTAGCATCATACTGCATGATTGCCAGTTCCTTTTAGTATTAGGTTTAGAATAGTTACAGTTACCAACATCTGTATCCAAAATAGTTTTCTGATGGGAATTCCCAGTACCTCCAGTGTCTTCTCCTATCGCTTTTAGATTTGACAACTTGTACCAGATAGGTAAGATAATCAGTTCTTCCAGAAAGCTGATGTGGCTTATATATCTTGTTAATAGGGCACATCTTCTACTGTTCTAATAGCTTTGGATATACATAACGTTTGGGGCAGAAATAGACCATTATGGTCTGTAAACTACCTCCTTGCACAGGTCAGGCTGTGGAATTGCACCAGTTCCTGTGTTAAGTCAACAGATTCTTCTCCGCCCCTTTTTTCTCTAGTAATAATAATCTGAGTTTCATTTAAGTACAGGTTAGGGTGGGCCAACCTTAGCAGCTGCAGAGAATCAAAGGGTTGAACCTTACCCTTCTTCCTCAGGTCTCGCTGCAGAAGGTGCTGGTGGTGGCAGGCACCTCGGTTGTTGAGCGGGGAGCAGGAGAGGGCACTGCCTTGAGGCAGAGGCCCCCAGCACCACCCCACAGAGCCAGGCTGCTCCTCAGATGTGCTTTCTCCCCGGGAAGGAGGCTGACAGCAGGGCAACTGACTGCACAGCTTAATCAGCTGCTTCCCAGCACATTCAGCGTGGATTAGATTTT